GCAGCAGCGCTGAGCCGACGTGCGTGGAGGCATGCAACGGGAGCGGCCTCTGCGACGCCGCGCGAGGGGGCGCCGTGCCGTCGTGCGCGGGGAACGCAATCCTGGCGCCGCCGCGCGCGCGGCGGCGATGGGCCGTCGCGCGTGGACAAACTGTGACGGGGCCAGCTTCTGCGCCGTCGCGCGCGCGGCGTCGCTGGGCCGTCGAGCGCTGTGACATGCAGCGGTGGGGGGTGGGCCTCTGCGCCACCGCGCGCGCGGCGGCGCTGGGCCGTCGCGCGCGGAGCAAGCGCCGCCGGGGGCCCCTGCGCCGCCGCGCGCGCGGCGACGCTGGGCCGTCGTGCGCGGAGAAGCGCATCGCGAGCGGCAATGGCGCCGCCGCGCGCGCGCGGCGGCGCTGGGCCGCCGCGCGCGAGGGAACGCAATGGAGGCGGCCCCTGCTGCGCCGCGCGCGCGGCAGCGCTGGGCCGCCGCGCTCAGAAAAACGCGACGAGGCCAGCTTCGGCGCTTCCGTGCGCGCGGCGGCGCTGGGCCGTCGTGCATGGAGAGGCGAAATGGAGGCGGCCTGTGCGCCGCCGCGAGCGCGGCGGGCTGGGGCCGTCGCGAGCAGAAAACGCAACGCGAGCCGTTCCCGCGCCGCCGTGCGCGCGGCAGCGCTGGGCCGCCGTGCGCGGAGAATTTTGACGGTGGCGACCTTTGCGCCGCCGCGCGCGCGGCGGCGCTGGGCTGCTTGCGCAAGAATGCGACGGGGGCGGCCCGTGCGCCGCCGCGCGCGCGGAGGCGCCGGGCCGCCCCCCGCGGGAAACGCAGGCGCGGGGCCGTTGCGCGTGGAGAGATCCAACGGGGGCAGCCTCTGCACCGCCGCGCGCGCCGCAGCATTGGGCCGCTTTGCGCAGAGACATCGACGTCAGGTTGTATTCCCAGTTCGCGCGCTACGGCCGCGGGGTTTGCACCGCTGGCGCCCGACAACGTTTCGCGGAAACGCGGGCCTGTTGTAGGCTGCCTTGTTTGGTCGTAAACTCGGCTGTGCTCGACGGGCGCTGGTTTGCCAAATTATTTGCCAGTGTGTTAGCGCAGGCCCGTTTGAGTGCGCCATATCATCAGGTGAGGCGTTTTTGTTATTCGCATGTCTTCTAAGCTAGTTTACACATTCGTTTTCGGCCTTTGCCCAGACGTGTTAGGCTGCCGTTTGCAATGAAACCCTGGGAGACGACCTCAGAATTTTAAGTTCTAGATGGAAGCCATGCTGGGCCTTCGGTGCAACAGAAATCTGGACCAGACATTTCGCGCACCAAGAGCACGTTGACGCGAAAATGTGCGAACCAAGAGCCACGGCAACGAGCGATTAAGACGGCCCTCGCGACGCCCCTGCGGGCTCTCCTACAGACCCGACCCCCCAGACATTCCCAAAATTTGGGCGCACCCCTCAGGCGGTTCGTTGCCCCACAGGGCGCTTAACCGAAGGCCCCAGTGGCAGGGTGCGCACGGCGGCCCCGCGCCATTTGGGCGCGCCCTTCACGCGGCCCGCGGCCCCGCAGGGAGCTCCACCGAAAGTCCCAGTGGCAGGATTCGCATGGCGGCCCCGCCCCATTTGGGCGCACCCTTCACGCGGTTCGTGGCCCCGCAGGGAGTTCCACCGAGGGCTCCAGCGGCGGGGGTCGCATGGCGGCCCCGCTCCTTCTTGGCGCACCCTTCATTCGCGGCCCCATTGAAGGCCCCAGCGGCAGGGTTCGCATGGCGGCCCCGCTTCATTTTGGCGCACCCCTCACACGATTCGTGGCCCCACAGGGAGCTCCACCGAGAGCCCCAGTGGCAGGGCTCGCGGAGCGGCCCAGACCCATTTTGGCGCATCCCTCACGCGTCTCGCGGCCCCATGGGGAGCTCCGCCGAAGGCCCCGGCGTCAGGATTCGCACGGCGGCCCCGCCCCCTGTTGGCGCACCCCGCACGCGGTTCGTGGCCCCGCAGGGAGCTCCACCGGAGGCCCCTGCGGCAGGGTTCGCATGGCGGCCCCGCCCCATATGGTCCACCCCTGCGGGTCTCACACTTGCATATGGCTGGGTCCTTCGCCACGATTGGTGTTTAATTTTTTCTGTTGGTTATCATTGATTCTTATTGGTTTTACTGGATTCCTCATGTCTCTAGTTGGTTCTGAAGGGTTCTAAGTGGTTCCATTGATTATATGAGTCTTGTTGGTGACTCCACTGGAGCCCCGTTGATTCCCATTTAATTGATCCTAATTGATCGCCGTCGGTTGTAGTAGATCCCACTGATTTCCATTGTTTCTAATTGATTTGATAGATTGAGTCTCGTTCATCCCCATTGAAAGCATTGCACCCCTTTGGTTCCGACTGATTTGAATTGACCCCCATGGTCTGTTATCTGTTTAAATGGAGATCTAATGATCCCCATTGATTATAATTGGTTCCCATTGATTCGATTTGATTTTCAATGGCTCGAATTGATTCATACGGATTCGAATTGATTCCTGTTGGTTTTATTGGCCCCTGCTGGGTCCCATTAATACTTGTTGATTCTTATTGGTTTCGAATGATTCCGATTGATTTGAACTGGATCCTATTGGTTGCACTTAAGCCCCGTTGGTTCGAGGTGATTCCTCATTGGTTACCGTTGGTCCCTTTAGGGCCCAATGGGTCTTTCTTGGTTCTAATTGATTACTATTGATTCATACTGATTCCCATTGATTCTCATAGGTTCTCATAGAACCCGAGTAATTATACTTGATGTTTGTTGGTATCAGTTGATCCCCACGCATTCATTCTCATTGGGTCTAAGTGTCTCCAATTGGTTATATTTGTGGGTCTTATGGATCTTACATCTTACTTGATTCGTAATGGTTTAACTAGATTCCTATTGTTCCAAATTGGGTCTCAGTGTTTTCATGTGCTTCCTGTTGATTATCATTGGTTCCTGTTGGTGATACTTGATTCCTCATGTCTCTAATTGGTTCCGATTGATTCTGGTTGATTCCATTTGAGTATATTTGTTTCTTAGGTTTCCCCATTGATCCTAGCAGTTTCCCCTTGATTCCCATTGAGTATGTGATTCCTATTGATCGCCACTGCTTCGAATTGATTCCCCTTGGTGCTAGTTGATGAAAATTGATCCCCACTCAACCCTATTGAATCACATTTGCTCCTTTCGATCCCCATTGGTTTTAATTGTTCCCCATTGGCTCTTATTGTTTTTTAGTTGATGTCTGTTGATCCCCATTGATTTTCATTGATTCTAATTGATTTCTGTTGATTTATTTGATTCCCATTCATTCTACTTGGTTCTTATTGGTCCAAATTGATCCCCACTGGTTAAACTGATTCATGTTGGTTCTCATTGCTCCTTGCCGGTTCATGTGGTTACTATTGATTAAAAGTGTTCCCGATTGATTCGTACTGGTTCTCATTGATTCACATTGATAGCTATCGCTCCCTAATTGATTTTCATTGATTCCCATTGAGTCTTAGTGCGTCTTATTGATCCCAATTGATTCTTATTGGTTCTAATTGGTCCCCACTGTTTCTAAGTCATTACAACTGTTTCTAAATGATTCTTATTGGTGCCAAATTGTTCCAGTTCATCTCTATTGAGTCCGAGTCATGCTTATTGATGTTTATTGTTCCCCATTGATTCCGATTGATTCTCCCCTTTGTATTGATGCGTATTGATTCGTATTGGCCCCATTATTTTTATTGACTCGTACTGATTCCATAAAACATCCTCCCATCCCCAACAACATTCTCTTAGAGCTCCATCCAACCCCAACAGGGTCCTAGTAAAGCTCCATCCATCCCCAATTGGACCAATTAGAGTTCCATCGGTCCCGAACAAGATGTTATTTAATCGCTTCGCTCATTCCACCGGCCCTGGAGCCCTCTTTAGGTGAGGGCCGTTGAGGCCTCTTGGGAGGCTCTTGTGGGCCCCTTGGGGCGGGAGGGGGGGTTGTCCATTGCGGCCCCCCCTTCGGGGGCCACGATCCTCGTGAGGGGTGTCGAAAAATTGCCCGGTCCGGGATCTCCTCCAGGGATTTGCCCGGGGTACTTTTCGCCGGGGGACCCCAGGGGCCGCCCCGCTCGCGCGAACTAGAAATATTGTTAACCAACCACCGGAGATCTTAGCACGCCTCTGGCCCGTTGGGCCGGCGAATTCGAGCTCCATCCATTCTTAACAAGATCCTACCAGAGCTCCGTCCATCCCCAGCTGGATGCTAGTAGATCTCCATCCATCCTTTACAGGATCCTGTAGAGTTCCATCCAGTCGTAACAGGATCTTATTCGATTTCCATCCTTCCCTAACAGGATTTTATGAGAGCTCCATCCATCCCTGGCAGGATCCTGCTAGAGCTCCATCCATCCCTAACAGGATCCAATTCGAGCTCCAGCCATCCCCAACATGATGCCATTAGGGCTCCATCCATCCCTAACACGATCCTATGAGAATTCCATCCATCCCCAACACGATCCCCTAAAGTTCCATCCGTCCCTGACAGGATCCCCTTTATAATTCCGTCCATCCCCAACAGGACCCCCCAGAGTTTCATCCATCCCTAATAGGATACTATTCGGGCTCCATCCATCCGTAACAGGCTCCCATTGGAGGAGGCAACCAGAGGCGTTGCTTCGCCAGCGCGCGATCGGTTGGCGAAGGCACGGCCGAGTTGACCCTTATATGGGTCCCAGTGGATTATGTGGTTAGTTGTTTGTATGAGTGCTGCATGTTGGCTGCTGGTTGCTGCCCCCCCTTCCCTCGTGGGTGGGGAGGGACACAGGAGTCCGGTCATGCGGATAGAGTGACGGGACTCCTGTGCCCCTGGGGAGAGGGGCGCACATAGGCGTTGATGCTTTCTTGTTGTTGTTGTTGCTGTTGTTGCTGTTGTTGCTGTTGTCCGTGAGCACCCCCTTGCACAAGCCAGGAAGGCGTATACGCGGCTTCTGGGCCCAGGATCGACCTGGCCAGAATCGGTGTAGGTGTATGGATGGTACCCTTGTAGGACCCCGTGTACGCGCCCGTCAACCTCGCGACATGCAGCCCGTGCTACCTGAAAGAGACACGCGTGTCAGAGGATCTGGAGGAAAAAACCACAGATGTTCGTTCTAGGGGCTCTCCAAGGGCCTACCTAACGGATCTGTTCGATTTGAGTTCGTTTCAACCTCGACCCAAGATTGGCTCAAACCGATTGACGACAGAGCACCGACGCATGTGTGGAGCGAGTGGCTCCAGGAAGGTCCCCAGAACGAGCATCTCAAGAACATGCCGGCGCCGATGCCGATGCCCATCTCTCGTTTTCGCCTTTCTGGGCTTCCTGGGGGGGGGTCGACACAGGCTGGATTTGCTTCGGGATCCTGGTTAGAACGTGCCGCAGGAGAGGCGTTTGGGGTATCGGTATTTTCTTGTCCCCCGAAGGAATGGGACGACGAAGACTCTCCCAGCATGAAGAAGTACTACCATTGGCACTGCCCCGCCCCGCCCTACAGAACTTCTGCCCTCGCGGGTCTGAATTTGGACTTGCTGGATGCAGTGATCGACCACCCCGAGGTACAGGGCTCCCACAGGCCGAAGTCGGTGGTCCAGACACATTTCAGAAAGAGGCGTCCGGTAGCAAATCATGGGAGCGGCGCGTACCCTCAGAATTCCATGTTTAAAATGCACTAGCGTCTGGTAATCGACAAGGCAGCGGTGGTTTAGCGTCGATTAGCGCCGATTTAGCGTCGAGTAGCGCCGATTCGCGTCGGTTCGCAAGAGCCAGCAGGATGGTATGGGAGGCCCCCATGGGTTGCCACATACGAGGCACGACTACGGCCTTTTCGCCCTCTGCGACGAGCGCGTCTCCTGGCACCCCCGCAGCGAGGGCCTGCCCTCCAGCCCACTGGTGCATCAGGCCTCGGGAACCTGCGTCACGGCGGAGCGGCCCGAGAACCAGGGGAAGTACGGGAAGGTATGGGCTCGAGCTAAACGGCGTTTTAGCGATTTCGTGGGCTTTTTAGTTTTGATTTCGTTTCGCAGCAAAGGCAGAGCGAAGACAGATCGAAGGAAGACGGAAGCAAAGCCGAAAACGAAGAACATTGTTTAGCTCGAGCCCTGCGGGAAGGTCTCGTTCCAGCCCTGCCAGAGCACCGCTGGTCAGCGCTTCGTGGCGACGGAGGCATCGGCTGCACGTAAGAGCGACATTTCGCCAGAGTGGTCGTTGGTGCGCGCACGGGAGCCCCCAGATGATGACCGAACGCGGTGCGATAGAGGCGTCTTTCGCGCTCGGGTCTAGCCTCCCCGCGGTCCCAGAAAGTCGCGCACCAGAGGTCACTCTTGCCCAGGGTCACTCTCCCGAGTGGCCGAAGGTACCGTCGCAAAGCAGCAGGTACGTGCGGCTCAAGGTCGACGGCATGTGTCTGCAGAGGCTGTGGATCCAGGGGGGCAGCTGGCTCTTCGGGATTGGCGCGACGCCCGACCGGACAGAGCTGCGAGCGGCGGATTGCGCCGACGACGAGACAGCCCAGTGGTTCGATAAGCCTGCGGAGGACGGCACCCTTCTTCTCCAGAACAACAACATGTGCCCCCACAGGTCGGCCATCGGGATGCAGATTGCCATGGGAGAGGGGGGATGCGTCTCAACGCCCTCACGTGGGGGTGGAGGCGAGTTCTTGCTCGAGGCCCCTCACGTGACCCCGAGTGGGCAAGTGGCGCACTACTCTGCATTGATCGCCGCTCTGCCGAAGGCGGCCTTAGCTGGCGACGAGCAATCGCACAAGGCATGGCAGTGGCTCTCCGTGGTGGTACTTCCCGACAGCTCGCACGCGGCGCTCCCAGTGGCCCATGACGTCCCGTCGCCAGGAGCCCGGAAGGCGATCCGCGCCATCTACGACCTCCACGTCGCCAAGACCCAAGCGAACTTGGGGGCGGGCGAGGTTCATCCTGCGCTGCTCCCTTCCGAGACCACACTCACAGGTTAGCGACGCAAAAAGCCGAATCAATTGTGCGGACATTCGCGCGTAAGTTGCCAGCGCAAGCTCGCGCGTAAGCGCCTGCGTTTTCAACGTGGTGTGCCGCGCTGGCGGCCCGCGTAAGCCACCGCGTAAGGTTGCTATGCCATCGTGCGTAAGACCCGATTCTTTCCGTCGATCAGGTGGCGGCACGCAGAATTGGCTGGTGCAGCCGCCTCGGAGCGCGTGGCCGCCTGTCCCGACGCAGCTCTACGAGGCGCGCCTCTCCGCCTCTGCGGACGACGGCGTGGCAGAACTGCAGCTGCAGCGGCGCACGCCCAGGCACCTGACGGGGCTGCTGGAGGGCAGGGTCATGATGCGCCCGAACCGCCTCAACCGCACCGTCCTCTCGACTGGGACGTGCACGGCGTGCAAGTGGAAAAATAACATCGGAGGACGAAACAGGTGCAGCTCCGCGCGAATTGTTCTTGGATCTGCGCTGGACGTCTCCCAGCCCCTGGAGCGCGGAGCGCGCCAGGGGCGGCGCTGGAGGCGCCACGAGAGGGTCCACGCGGGGCGCCAGACCGGATGGGTATGGGGCGCTTTCAGCCCTCCTGGGTGCTTGGCGCTCTTTCTTCCTCTTCATTCTACTCCTCCTCCTTCCCCTCCTCCTCCTCATCCTCCTCCTCTTTCTCTTCAACCCTTTGAAGGCTGAAATCGCCCCATGCACATCCAGCCTGGAGCTCCAGGCGGCGATCCAAGAAATCTGCGCGGAACCCCAAAACGTTCTCAGTCAACCCGCATAGCAAGGATGGGCAATTTTCCGAAGGGTACCATTGCATCCTTGCCTCCTCGGTCCATCCTTGGCCACTTTCGCTGGCCGCGCCCCGCTCGAAAAGCTTCGAAATGGACTTCCAAGGCCCGTGCATCCTTATCGTACATCCTTATGAAACGGGTCGACTGTGCGTTTGTGCGCCTCTTTCTCCCTCTCAGCATATTCCCGTGGAGCTCGGCCGAGGTCTTCTGCCCCGTGCACGGCCGACGGCGCCTCCTCACCACGGCCGCGGGGGCGGGGCTCCGCCCGGCGCTCCTGTCCTCCGGGATCAGCGGGTGCGCCGACGCGCTGGGCTTGGGGCCCTTGAGCGGCAACGAGGTGCTCGTCTCGGCGAGGAGCCCGGGGGGAAGTGAGACGGGGCGGCCCTCCGCAGAGGGTTCGGAAGTCCCCCAGCCTTCTGACACGTTTTCCAAGCCTTCCCCGAGGACACAGCACATTTCTCAGAAGGCGCCAGGGTTTCTGAGAAGTCCCGCCGCCTTCTGAGTAGGCCTTCTCCTTCTCATTTCCCCCCTGGCTCGCCGCCGATCGTCTGCGACGAGGGCGTGGTCGTTGATGGGGAGCCCCAGGCATCGCAGAGGAAAAAACTGCATACACAGACGGTCAGACCGGGGTCTAAGATCGAGGTCGGTTCGGGGAGGGTACCCTGCTGTCCTTCGTGCCTGTTGGGCGTTCCTGTGCATCCTGGGGGAGGTCACCCTTGAATGATCTCAAGGTTTGGGGTGTTTTGGCCGGCGAAGGGTCTCATGTTCTTGAAGGATGTTATTCTGGCCTAGGTCTGGCTGTACACATAAACTTTTCGGAGGTCCGCGCGGGTTTCGTCGATCTGCATTGGGCCCCCTGGCGGCGCCTCTGGCGCCGCCCCTGGCGCGCTCCGCGCGACAGGAAGGGGGGCCCATCGCCGATTCGAAGAAGCCCGACCAGAGCTCCGAAAGCTTATGTTTACGCTGTTGGTTCCTCGTCTGAGGCAGCCTCCGACTGGGACATCGCGGGCGAAAAACACGTCCGTATCCGCAGCCTCGCGGGCCGGGCCCCTGGGCCGCGACCCAGCGGATACGGGGCGCTTATTCGCGAGTGCCCCGCGCGGAACGTATTCGTCCGACCGCGCATCCGCGGGATCGTGCCTTGGAATCCAGATCGCGAGGGCGCGGAAACGGATACGTTCGCCGCTCGTTAGGACAGGCCCCGACGCAGGCAGCGGGTGCAGGGCTGGATCCTCGTGGGGAAGAGGCCGAGTCACACTGACCTCATCGGCGGGACCGGCGACGTGCGCGCTTTCCGCTTCGAGGCAGAGGCCTCCGGAGCAGAGCGCGCGGAGGAGTTCGGCTGTGGGGCCGCGGAGATCTCGCAGCTCCCCGGCCTGGACCCTGAGGTCAGCAGGGGCACGGACAGGGGGGGGGATAGGCATAAGGGGGAGATGCATCGACCTCGAATGGCCGAATGCTTGATACATCGGCGATAGGTCGTTGACGTGAGGGTCCGCTGCCCAGCTCATGTGTCTTCGCTTCGTCTGCCAATGATGAGTGGCGGCCGCGTTTCCTCAACATCTGCAGCAACGGGCAAAGAGGGCTGTTCGGAACACGGCGACGCAAATGTCGCAGCATTGTTTTGCTTGGCTATCGCGACGTGCGATTGGCTAGAGCTGTCGTCAAGGCGCCTAGCGATCCAGGGGTATAGTGAAGGTCGCCACAACAATAATACTGATGCGGACAGAGAGGAGTTGTGGAAGGGAAGGGGGTACTGAGGAGAAGTGGATGAGGAACGATGAAGTTGTAAAAGAGGAGACGGCCAACGATAAAAAGGACGAGGGAGAGATTAGCAGGACGAAGACGACGCAAGGGACGAATTTCAAGAGCAGCGCCAACAAAAACGGGCGGGGCGGGTCCCTTTTCCATTGGCGATGGCACAATCTTCGTTGACACGGGCTTCCTATTCGAAACATGGTTGGGTTGCTAACCTTGCACTGCCCCTCGCGCGGAGCCAGGACACTTTTTGCCTTTTGCGGGCAGGGAAGGGGCGATGGCCAGGATCAGGTGAAGGAAGTGAGATATGAGGGGAGGTGGAACAGGGGATGAGGGGAAGAGGATTTGGTCCTGCGCGAGACAGCGCGCCGACTGCACGAGACACCGAAACCGTCTCACCGTCAACTCGCCCGAGGGGGACTACATTGCAGCCTCGCTTCGGTGACGCGACTGCCAAGAATCCGCGCCGAAAAGGCGATGCGCGGTCGATTTACGATGCCAAGAACGTGGCAAGGCAAGTCGCGTCCCAGACAGCGCGTGAACAGGGGCCGCCCAACATGCTTACGCAGTTCCCCCGCCACCCCCTCGCTCGACACAGTGGAACCCGAGAAACGCCACTTGTGGCCTCGCTGGGAAAGACGAGCTCCGAATTTCCTGAGGGCGTCGACTACATAGTACGACGCATGTCGCATTGCTTGAAGGACGCGCCTATTTTTACGAGGTGGAGTGTCTTGACTTCCGCTACATCCTCTTGGTGTGGGCGAGCGCAGAAGCGATGGTCAATCAGCGACGCGGCGCCCGAGAATTAGGCCCCCACTCACGCCCACGAGCCAGAAACGATGACTGATATCATCTCCGGCGGGAACTAATGACTCGAGCACGATTTTCTCTGGGAGGGAAGCGTGAGCTCCCGGGGCCTCCAACCTCTAAACATTCGCGCGACGCGCGCATAGTGTGAGGCATTTTTTTCGGCCGAAGCACACCGTGATTCGTTATCAAAGACGCTTACGGCAAGTCACCGTCGCCCTCTGCCGTTTGGAATCGCCCATGTGGCCGAGCGTTGTGGCAAGAGCTCTGCCAAACTATAGGACCATGTGTTTCCCCAACCGTTGTGGAACCGCTTCGAGGAACACTCGGGGGAGGATAACGTGGAAGAGCAGGAGGAGGATGAGGAGGATGAGGAGGAGGAGGGGGCATCTTGGGAGCCTCTGAGGGTCTCTCTGGAACCTCCTGGGAACTTCCTGGGAGCCTCTTGGAGGCAGCTTGGGGGTCTCCGTGGGCATCTTGGGGTCGTTGGGGGCTTCTCGGGGTCCTCCTCTTAGGGCATTCGTGGCCCGTCTGACGCCGTCGGCAGCCGTCTTGGAGGCCTCTCTTGGCCGACTTGGGGCCCTCTTCAGATGCTCCAGGGCCGTCTTGGAGGCCATCTTGGGCGTCTGGGAGGCCTCTTGGGCAGTCTTGGGGCCGTCTTGGGCGTTTTGGGGCCCTCTTGGGGCCGTCTTGGGGGCCTCTTGGGCCGTTCTGGGGCCATCTTGGAGGCCTCTTGAGCGATCTTGGGGCGTCGGAAGGCCGAACCGAAGCAAATGCCAAATCCCTCAAACACCATATCACACACACACACACACATATATATATATATATATATATATATATATACATACATACATACACATACATTTGCATATACATATACATATGCGTGTGTATATATATGATGATGATGAAGGCCTCTTCGGGCCCTCCTGGTGGACCTCATGGAGGCCTCTTGGGCCGTCTTGGAGGCTTCTTGGAGGCCTCTGGGGCTGTCTCAGGCCATCTTGGGTTCCCTTGATGGCTTCGTTGGAGGACAAAAGAAATGTTGGACCCTCTTGGGCCGTCTTGGAGGCCATACTGGACCATCTTGGGCGAGCTTGGAGGCCATCTTTGGCCATCTTGTCTTTAGGCCGTCGAGCACGCAATCCACGTCCCGAAAACCCACGACCTCTACATTTTCGGTAGCTTTCTGAGTGGCCGGCGCGCTGAGCCGAAGCCCCAGGGGGAGTTCTTTTGGAAAAGAACCAAAACCAAAAGCCGTAGGGTTCAGCACGCCATGCACCCCTAGGATAAATCAACAGTGGGCGGCGGATCGAAGACGCCCACGGCGAATCACCGCCGCCCCCTGCCTTTGTGGAAGCGCCTATGTGGCCGAACGTTGAGGCCAGACCTGCCAAGCTATCGGACCATGTGTTACCCGAATCGGTTTGGAAAGCCTTCGGGGAACACGTGGACATCTTGAAGGTCATCTTGGCCGTCTGAAGGCCATTTGACTCTTTCTGGCCTCTTGGAGGACGTCTTGGAGGGCTCTTGGACCGTATTGGAGGCCATCTTGAGCGTCTTGGAGACCTCTTGGGCCGTCTTGGGGGCCTCTTGGGGCCGTGTCTTGGGCCTCTTGGGCGATCTTTGGGGGCACTCGGGCCGTCTCGGGCCGTCGGAAGGCAGAACAAAAGCAAATGCCACAATCCTTCAAAAACCCATGGGAAATCAATGATTTAGGCCTTTTCGGGCCTTCCTGGAGACCCTCTTGGAGGCCTCGCGGGCCGTCTTGGAGGCCTCGTGGGCCGTCTTGGGCCATCTTAGGGCCATGTTCGGCCGTCTTGGTGGGCTCCCAGTCCGTCTGACGCCTTCGGAAGCCGTTTGGGGGGCCTCTATGGGCCGACTTGGGGCCCTCTTGGAATGCTCCAGGGCCGTCTTGGAGACCATCTTGGGCGTCTTAAAGGCCTCCTGTGCCGTCTTGGGGCCCTCTTGGGGCCGTCTTGGGGCCCTCTTGGGCCGTTCTGGGGCCATCTTGGAGGCCTCTTGGGCGATCTTTCGGCGATCTTTGCGGGCTCTTGGGCCGTCTCGGGCCGTCGGAAGGCCGAAAAGAAGGAGATGCCAAATTCCGTCAAAAACCTTAGAATCATGATTTTTGACTTCTTTTGGTCTTCCTGGAGGCCCTCTTGGGGGCCTCTTGGGCCAGCTTCGAGCGAACTTCGGCCATCTTGGTGGGTCCCTGGCACGTCTGGCGCCGTCGGGAGCCGTCTTGGGGGCCTTTCTGGGCCGACTGGGGGCCCTGTTGGGGCGCTTCGGGGCCGTCTTGGAGGCCATCTTGGGCTCCTTGGAGGCCATCTTGGGCGTGTTGTAGGCCTCTTGGGCCATCTTGGGGCCCTCTCGGGGCCGTCTTGGAGGCCACTTGGGCCGTCATGGGGCCCTCCTGGGGGCCTGTTCGGCGATCTTTGGGGCCTCTTTGGCCGTCTTGACTCTAAAGCGAACTGGGGGACGTAAGGAGTGGAAGCGAGCGTGCGCCCGCGGCCACGTCGGCTCATGCGGCCGGCCACCCAAATATCGAGACCAAAAGGATCTTCCTACTGCTTGAGATGGCATCTCGTCTCATACTGGGACTATCGTTGCTACGGTATAACAAAGCGGGAGTTCTGTTTCGCCTGAGGCGAAGCTTCTGGCTGGGCCTTCCAGCCCTCTTCAAGCTTGGTAGCGGAGCTGGCCTATGGTGGTCAGCTCTTGCTCCACTCTTCACCATCCACAGCACTATCTGGTG